CTGTGGAGGACTTCATCGGTGAGACGTGCAGAGTGCAGGAGAGCGCTCGGCTCTCAGTAAACCACGGCACATCTGGAAACATCAGCTCCGTCTGGAGCAATGCAAAGCTCTGTGACCCGTCTAAGCTTTGAATGATGACGATAAGATCCCCGAGGTTCTGTGATGGGTTACAATAACCTGACTTCATGCAGGAGTCTGACAGCCCAAATTTCTTTTGCTTACAAAAAGAGCTCAGTATCGGACAGCCCTGTGCAGCGCCCTCTTCAGGTCACCCCACAGATTTCATCTTCAGCTTTCTAGCAGACGCCCGGGAGCACGATGGTGCCACCACCGTGCTTTGCCATGGCCGTGGCATTCGTTCAGTGATGCACGGTGTTGTTTCTGTTTCTGCAGCTTTCACAAATACGGCCAAAAAGTTCAACCTTGGCCTCATCAGACCACAACGACACATTTGCCCACATTTTTTAACAGTGCGCTGAAAAGTTTCTCTCCGTAAGAGAAACAGCTCAGAGCTCAGACGTGGGAACATCCGGCCTCTCAGAACGGCTTTCTTCTTGTCTTTTTGTTTTAGCACTGCCTGGCTAATTAGAAACCAGCCTTCAGAGGTTATAGGTCACAATCAAAGTGCAAAAAATATTTAGCTTGGCCTAATTTGTTTTTACTTCATACAAACCTGCCACAGCAGAGCTGCAGAACCAGTTTATGCTTCATGGGTCTTATGGAAGCATGAGAAGAAGTTGATAGTCTGTCATGTGCTTCGATACTTTGGCCAAAAGTAAAACACTTTTACTTACACTGTTGTTCAACATGAAGTTCGATTACAAACTAAAGCGGGTCGAGGCGTGTTTCTAAAGGGGGCAACGAGTATTTATTTGCCCCCTAAAGGGTTCATGCAGAGTGGCTGTAGCTCGGGAGGTAGAGCAGGAAGGTTGGTGGCTGGTCCTCCTAGTCTGCACCCCAAGTTGCTCTCCGGTGTATGGATGGGTGTGACTGTCAGTAGGCGCTTGTGTGAATGTGTATAAAGCGCTCTGAGTGCTCCAGGACAGCAGAAGAGTGATATATAAGAATCAGTGAGGACAAACACAAATCCTTCTCTCACTTTCAGGGGACTGACAGGTTAAATAAGGAGGCAGTGCCCCGGGTGAGAGGTCAGCAGGATCAAAGTGGAGACAAGGGGATCCACACCAACAACACCCCCCGACCCCTCCGTGACCTCCCCACCTGCAGCAAAGCCCAACGGCCCCCACCCGCCCTCAAAAAGCCCAAACCACGCAGCAGCCACGGGAATTTAGCACTCACCTGAAAGAGGAAATTACTCCAGGAGGTGTCCATCCTGAAGGAGACCCAGCTGGGGACCGAAGAGGAGGAGGAGGAGGTGGAGGAGAAGGAGGAGGGGGAGGTAGAAAAGCTCCGGGAGCTGCTGTGAAAACAAAACGCGAGGCCTGTATGGCAGCTCCCCTCCACCGACAGGGGAAATGAGTCCCAAAGCCCTGACACTTCTTAGAGAAGAAGCCTCCGAGAGGCAGGAGTTAATATGGCAGCTAAACAGTCACTGAGCAGATGCTTCTGTAAATGCGACAGAATGGTTGGTCTCATGCGTACTTGCTTTAATGGTGCGGTTTAATTTAATTTGCTTATGTCGACTGGAATAAAAATCTGCATGCAAAGTATTTTAATGGCGAAGCCGAGCAGTCGAGACGTGCTAATCATAGCAGCGGCTGTTCGGGACTCGTTTATAGCTCCGACAAGGCCGCAGCGTCGGCTTCCGAGCCTCGGAGTTGCGTAGGGCTCGTCCCCCGGCTAGAGCGCTCCCGGTCGGCCGCGGTCCGTGGCTCCGCCTCGGTGTCTGAATCGACAGGATGACATCTTTCTGTTTTTTTCAAACCCGCTCCCTCGCGCTCCCTCTCGCCCTCCCTCCCTTCGCTCTTTCTTCCTTTTCTTTTTTTATCTCTTCTTCACCCCCTCTGTCCCTCTCTGCTTTAAAGGGAAAGTATTTGGCGTGTGCACCCTCCTCGCGGACCCCGTCTCGGCTCGTCTCGTGCCGCGCCGTCCCTCTCGCCCCCGCCACTTCTCGGTAGGCCGACAGATAATCAAATCCGACATTTATGGGATCAGCTCGGCCGTTAACTCCGCCACTTCGCTTAAAGGAACCCGAAAACTGGCGCTGCGCTGCGGGGAAGAGGTGGCAGGCGGTGATCCGAGCCGCGTTCGCGCCAAACTCTCCGGTAAAATGGTGTCGGGTTCGGCTAAAATGAGCCTTTATCCCCGAGCATCTTAAAGGTAACGATGCGCGCAAGTGCAACAGCTGGATGTAACCTCAAAACACATGACGTCCGTCCGTGAACGGGCCACACCGCGCGGCCCGCCAGACTCCATTCAAAAGACTCTAAATTCCCGTCTCCGGCGGACTTACTGCACGATTGAATGCTGACAGTAACACAGCCACGACACGAAGGACATCCCCACGAATCCGCTCGACTTTAAATGAGCACAGCTGGATTTTATTATTTTATTGTTCAGCCATTGTAGTGCAGTTATCCTGAGCTCCTGTAACGCTAAGTGCCATTTTCTGCTTTCTTCACACTTATTAAACTAATTTTATTCTTTTATTTTGATTTACTTCATTCATTGAGGTATTTTATTTACTTTTTAAAAATTTTGTTTACCTTGTTTATAAAATTGTCACTTCCATTTTATTTAGTTATACTTGTGCTGACTGAACTTTTATTTGTTCATTTTGTCGTTGGCTGGTGTAACAGGAATTTCCCGCTGTTGTAATAAATAACGTTGATGTGATTTTCTCTCAAAGTGAGGAACGTGTCAGCACTAATATTCAGATGAAAACAGCTGTTTTATTTTTAATGTCAGACTGAATGGAAGGTGAAGGCGGGCCCTCGGGTCTCCAGGCTGAAATACAGAAAAACAATCACAGGCAGCTGCACTTCTGCAGACGTTTTAAAGAGAAGCCCAGCTGTCCCGTGGCCCTGCAGGTCCAGGTGGAGTGACCAGGTGCCCCTCTTTAAGTGGCTGCTCAGCAGTTTTATTACCCGTCCACCTGCAGCGACACTCCCACATTTTGACCGTTTCTGGAATATAAAAGAAAAACGATGATCTGTGGACGAATCACAGCTTAAGTCAACGTTCAGCTTCTGTTCAGGACTTTTAAGAAACTGGTTTTATATAAATTACAGTGGTTATATGATCAAGCTGCAGGCTGGTTACTTCCCTCAGGCTCCCTCAGCTCTCTTCGGTCTGTGTTTGTGTCTCACCATGAATCCAGATGTGTTCAGGCATCCACAGATGTGCATCAGCGCTGTCATTCAGAGCTGACGTGCAGATGTTCTCGCGATCATGTCCCCACAGCGTCAGTATGAACATGCAGTATTATGAAAGCATGAATTCATGTTAAAATAAACCCAGTCTGCTCATTTCATACTTTTAGATTCTTGAGCTGTTCCCCGTTTAAGTCGTTCAGGTTGTGTCAAACTCTTTGGCTTCAGTAGAACAAGAATTTACCAAAAAATAAAGATCTGATGTGATATGGAACAGGAAGAAATAACTGAAGGTCAAAGTGCAGAGGACAGAACAGCAGCTGTGGAAGCTCTGCACTCGTCTTCAACGCTGAAAAGCAGAACCAATCAAATCGGCAGCTCGTGGAGTCCAAACTGCCTCGAAGGAGAAAAGTTTAAATACAAATCTGAATTTTTTTATTGAACACAACGTTTTTCTTTCGCAGCTTTTTTTATTTTTTACAGTAAATTCAAACCAAGCAAACAAAACCAGCATCAAATATTTAAATTACAACATTATTTCCTTTTAAATAGAACATCAAACTTTGCTTTCAGGTCGAGATATATATTTCATATTAATACATTCTAGCAAATACAGTATGCGGATTTCAGCACGCTCTCTGATTGGCTCCGTCAAAGCGACACACACAGGTAACACTTGGTGCTCCTCAGGTGAGGTAAACGTACAGTTTCTGACAGAGGACACGCTTCCTCTCCTAGCACTAAAATAAAACGAGCCCAGCTACTGCTCAGCCTCCGTCTAATCAGCCAAGCATCAGCAGGAACAGGAAGTGAGGCGCAGGAACAGAACGAACGGTGAGAGGAATATTTAAGCTTTTGGTCGTGTCATCATTTCAGGGACTGTTTCGTCTTCACAAATAAAAAAACATCTAAATAAGGAATAAAAAGTGGATTTTCAGAGAGTGGAATAAGCATTAGAATTTAGATTTTACCATTAACGTGTCGGTAACCAGCCTGACGGTCATGGTGGAGGCGACTTCGGACGGTTAACGGGCGCTACACATCGTCAGCTGCTCCTCATTCATTTAAACACACCTGGAGTTTTTCCTCCGAATAAAAAAGTCGGTGTCCAGGAAAGAGCCTCAGGCCTTCTGACAGACACCACTGAGTCATGACATCATCTACACGCACACCTGCGTCCAGTCAGACCGAACGGCCCGCCTCCTCTCAGCTTCAGACTGAGCTTCCCATCAATCATCTGTCAATTAATCACAATCACTGAGCCGACGACCTCGACCTAACAACAGGCAGAAGTCTGTCCTCACAATCCTGCTGCTACACACCTGGAAATGACGCATAATTACAACAATAATAATAATACTAAAAATAACAGCAATAATAGTAATAATTACAATAATCTGTATTTGATCTGTATTTTCATTTTTTTAATGTTGTTAATAGTTTGGTCAGTAAAATGGGAAAATAATAATAATAATAATAATAATAATAATAATAATGATGATGATGATGATGATGATAACAACAACAACAACAATTTGGAACATTGATATTCATATACGGAGGACTAAGAATGCCCTCCCCTCCCAAAAAAAAGGTTGAGTTTTTGTTTACTTTTGTAATAATTATTTATTTGCTTCTTTATTTACATATTTGTCCTTTCAGATCGCGCCTCATTTATTTTGGCCGGACTTTAGTCACTCCTCTTATTTCTGTATTTACTTTTCTTTCTAGATTTAAATGTTGATGGATGTATAAACACATTAGCAGATAACAGCAACATTATTTTTCCTGCCTACAGTCATTATTAACATTACTTCTTATTCTTTTAGTGATTTTTAAATTCCTTTTTGACTTTTGGTCCTCCGTATTTGTCTGTTCAAACTTAAATATTTAATTTAAAAATTTGTTGTTGTTTTTTTAAAGCGTTCAGATGTTTTTTTTAAATTATTGCTATGATGTAAAACTGAGAAAGCGTGGCAGTGAGAATGAGCAACATTTGATTAGGTGTAATCGATAAATCTGATACGAATTGTCGGCTCGTTTCAGCTTTAACGGAAAAATAAAGAACACCTGCGTTAGCTCTCGCTCTCATCACCGACGGACACGCCTCTCACGTTAGCGTAATAAAACAGGAGAGCGGTAACCGGGGACCTGTCCGTTTATCATACATGTAACCATGCGTGTCGTCCTTTAAGTTTGCATTATGAGCTTATGTTGTGATTTAAAGGCTGCGCCGTGGATTTGGAATATTTTTCTCCATATTTGGTCAGAATCCGTGTCGGTCTGACAAACTTTCCCTTTAAGAAAACAACAATAAGTGAAACCGCAACGGATCTGCTGATGCTGATGCAGCTCTCGCCGCCTCCCCGTGACCTCTTACTTCATCTTCAAGGCCTTCTCCCGCTCGGCGGCATCAATGGCGGCCATGTTCTTGGAGGCGGTGATGAGGTGCAGGACACTGATGCCGGACTTGAGCAGGCAGATGATCCCACAGAGCCCCTGCAGCCAGTAGAGCCAGCCTGTGGAGAAATCCAGCGACTCAAGTTTAACATCAGACTCAGAGGAACGATGAGTTTCCTGTTCAGCACCTGAACACGTTAACATTCCCAGCTCTGGATTTTAACAGCAGGACTCTGCTAAAGAAGCTCAGCATGACTCACAGCTTTAATTAACCAATAACGAGAACTCGACTAACACTCGCGGAGAACAACCACCATGACATTTATCAACACTTTCATCAACAAATAAAAAATAAGATGAAAATGTTCTGGAAAGATGAGATCCAATCAGAACTAATAAAGGTGTGCAGAAAGGTGGGATGAGTTTGGACGTGAGCCAATCAGAAGCTAGCTCCCACGATCTCTGCTGAACACACAACAAAACAAGGACACTCGCAAGGAAGAGACGAGCAGACGTACGAACACGTTCACACTCGATGTCAAAGAAAATAAACCAAAACTGTGACCAGCAAAAACAAACTTTACACTTTAACTGAATCCACATTAGATTTTAGTCGACAAGAATCTTAATCGACTAAAACAACTTTGATCCGTAAACACTGATGTCCAAACTCAGTCTCACCTGTGAAAGTGAGGAAGACGAGGATAATAAGCTCTTACCTGCCGGCTCCTCGATGTGATAGAGAAGGTAGAGCAAGCAGAAGAAGAGCTCGTTCCCGGCGCACATCACAAACAGGACTGGCTGCAGGACACACACACACACACACACACGTTCACTGATTGTTCCTTTAAAATTCATACGGACACGTTTATCATACGACACACAGACCTTGGAGGTGTAGTAGAGGCGTAGGATGGCGTTCCCAGAGAGGTCGATGGTTTTATGGCTCGCTGATCCCTTTACAGTCGAGCTGAGGAAGACAGATAAGAAAACACGATCAGCCGCAGCACAACACCTCGTCCTTACACCTATCATGGCTCTAAAACGGGTCACTGGGCAACATGATCTGATTCAGTCTGTTCAGGCCACACAGCTAAATATGACTTCACCCTAACAACCACAGAAACATCGCCCACCTGTGCAGGTGCAGCCAGTGGCTGGCGATGTCCAGACACATGCTGAGCTGGAACAGGAAGGCGTAGGAGGGGTAGAGCAGGGATAGGTTGACCAGCAGACACATGGTGGCGCAGCGGTCAGTCAGCATGTCCAACATGGCGCCGAACTTAGTGGCTGAAACAAACAGAGAGCGGCCCGTGAGACCACAACACGACCTGCTGCAGGAACCGTCATGGCTGCAGTTCCTCTGACGTCCAGCAGAGGCTCCAGCAGCAACTGAGTCAATGTTAAAACTCTACAGCAGAAATAAACACAGCCTAAAGCTCCCACAAAGATTGTCTCACGAGACAGCGAGCATAAAAACGGCCTGAGACGCATACAGAAATCTACTCAGGGGCGTCCTCCTACATCAGCGGGTGTTTCTGCAGATATGGTAGATGTTGCACCTGACTGGACAGCGAGGGATCCACCTCACCACTGCGTGCTTTTAACGTACCACACCGACCCACTATGACTGTGAAGCAGTGAGAGTCGTTAAAATGACCCAACCACACTCCTTCCATCTTTTATATACAGAGTGTGGTTATCACCCAGTATAAACATCAGGAAAACAAACACGTCCTCCATCCAACACAAAATCTACATTCAGTCAAATCCTGCCTTCAGGAGTCAAAACTGGACGTCTCTCTCTCACACACACACACACACACACACACACACACACACACACACACACACACACACACACACACACACACGTGTAAATACATACACTGATTGAGCGCTCGCGCTGCATGGCCGTCAAAGGCATCCAGCAGAGCGCTGAGCAGGTAGCAGAAGACGGCCGGCCACGGGCAGCAGGGCATCAGGAAGAAGGAGATCAGGGCCAGCACCACCCGGGCATAACCTGCAGGATCCAACCAAGGTGAAGAGATTTATTCAGAAACAGAGTGCGTTTTAATGATTTCAACACTGATTATCTGTGATGAGAAAATTCCTTCTTATTGCATATTATTTGTCATTTTTCGCAAAAACAATGCACTTTGTTATGTCTCTACACTTATGTTACTGCTACCTATTCCAATAAAATGTATTTTACAACAAAAATGACAAGATAGAAGCTTATAAAATACTTCATTACACTGGGTACAGAGTAGTCCACATACGATGAATAACTTATGTTATTTTCATAATTGAAGGCATTTAAAAGCATCATATTGAAGTTGTAAAAACCCATCGCTCAATGGCCTGATCAATCTTTTTATCCACAATAAAACCGGACATTTCAGGGGAAAATGCTTATTTATTATTACGCAAACAACTACAATACAATAACAAAACGTGCCGTCCTTTCCCATTAATTTCGGCTTGATTTGGCTTCCACTGTGACGTTACTCAGCTCACTTTGCCCAGATAAAGCAGATGAGCCGGATTCTCTAAATTGGACGTTTTTTGAATGGAGTTCGGTGAATTTTACATTTCGCCGGCTAAAGCTAAGCTAGCTCCGCGTCGCTAAAGGCGGGAAAAACTCACCGATTAAATTAGGAACGAAGAGGAAAATGTTCTCCGTCTCCATGTCTGCGGCAGTTTGTGCGACAAACGGAGCGCCTGTTCTGCGTTTTTATCCGCAACAGGGTCTTTGAAGGAAACTGCAGGCGACTATTTGAAAAGGTCACTTCCTGTCACCCAAAGGGCTCTTCACCGGAAACAACAAGGTTACAAATTCCGGTTGTTTTCAGAATAAAGGTGGAATGTTATGACAGCGTTTTGTTGTCGTTTTGTCAAATAAAAGTACAAACTTACAGAAAAATTAAAGGGAGATTATGCAGTTACATTGATGGAAAAAAATAATTAAGAAAAAGAAACTTTTGTGTGTGTCTTTAAGTTTGCTTTGGTAAGGATCTTCACCTTTTGCTCTACCTCATCTCACTCTCTGAAAAAGGAAATAAAACGTAAATTTAAAAAAAATATATATTTTTTACCAACAGTAACCATAACACAGACTAAAACACATATTTAAAACCCATTTACATGGAGATAAACCCTGTAAGCAAAACTCACTCTCGATTGTGTTTTAGTCTTGAATGCATTTAATTTAATTTAATTTTAATTCTAACACAAACTGCAAAACTTTCTAAAAAGACAAGCGTCATTCTTCTTTGCACTTCCTTCTGGAGCGCAGCGAGGAAATCTCTCACACAGAAGACATGTTCATGCTGAGGAAAGTCCGTAATGCCATACGTAATGAATCTGAACCAGAAAGTCTGCGCTGCAGTTTGATGGAGCATTGGCTGTATCCCAATTCAGGGTCTGCAGCCTTAAAGGCCGCGTTTTAAGGCCGATTACGTCACAGCGGCGCGCCGAAGGCTGTCCCAATTCAAAGGCTGCTCGAAATGCGGCCCTCAAATGCGTCCTTCATTTCCCTGAATTTTAAGGCTGTGGCAGTGTAGACTTCGTGGCCCAACATATCCCAGAATGCATAGCGCGGCGGTGGGTGTGGATAATTTCGCCGGGGGAAAAAAAAACACAAAAAAAACCAAAAAAAAAAAACGGCGGATGAGGGGCGCCCGAAGAGTAAACTTTAAGTACTGAATATTATGTCACTTATTTATGTGCAAATGTTTAATAACGAAGAACATTAAACATTCCTGTTGGCCACATGTTGGCAAAGTCATGTGACATTAGTGACGTTTGTACTAACTTGGTTTTAAAGCCTTTACTTTAAAATATACGCCGTCCAATAGCTGAGCTTAATCTCACAGAATGATCAAAGCTCATGTAGAAACAAACACATGAACAAAAGATTTTCTCCTTCATTTCTGTCAAACACAGCTGTATGACACGTTTCCAGCTGTTAGTATCATGGTTGCTAGGCAACCTGGGCAGCGCAACGGAGGCTAGACCGTCCCATTTCACAAGCCTCGCACTTCCGGCCTTAGCGGTCTTTGAGCACGCGGCCCTTGAGGATCGTTGAGGCTGCGTACTTTATTAAGGCTGCAGACCCTGAATTGGGGGACAGCCAATGTTTGACTTCGACAATACCAACACGTTCCTACAACACATGAAAGCTCTCTGCTTCAAACATCCGAGAGCATGCAGAGTAAAACAGTCTGGACCCAGCCTTTGTGGTAAATTTAGGTGTAATACAGAGAACCAAAAGTTCCCAATAAAAATAAAATAATTTTTGCAGAGAAAGAAAATAAACATTTCACATTTAACAGATTCATTGCAGCAATTTATTTTTATGTTAACTTTGAGTGGAAATAATGGTGTTATTTCTTTCTTTTGTCTCATTTTGACACTTTTGGTTCTCCATACCCAGAAGTACTTCAAAAGAAGTTTTTAAAATTTGTATTTAAAGACTTAAATCTTAAATATCCGTAGCCGGAACAGAATTTTCAAAAGAACTCAAAAAGTGAGACGTCAGGAGAAAATCTAGAACAGCTGAAATCTGAAAACATTAATAAAAACATCGCCCCCTGGTGGTGAACAGTTCAAGTAAATTTTACAATCTGATTAAAACAAAAATTAAATATTCACAAAACAATGTAATAAGAAAGGAAATGACAACAAAGCAGCTTTTCTGTTTTTGTTCTTTTATTTCTCCAAAATTATTTGATTACGTTTCTGTACATCTAATTTTTCCAACGCTCCTGAAACACAACCTGAACATTTTCACTTCGCCCTCCTGTGACATACACACACCCTTCATCCTGCTCTGCACACAGACAGCACTCGACTCTGCCTCCTCCTCTTCCTCCTCATTACGCCGATGGCCTTGAATGCTCCTGGGGATTTTTCTTTTTTCCCCCCTTTTTCCTTGAAAGTTTAAAGCTGCAGGAGGAAATGTGAGGAATTGAACAGAAACATTTTGTTTGCCATCGACTCTTGAAATCGGTAACTTTGCGCTTTCAAACAGAGTGAACCTTCAGTTTTTAAATGTCAAACTGTCCTTGAACACAGCACAGAGTAGTTGAGAAAATAAAATAAAAAGTAGAAAAAGTGAAAAATGTGGGGCTGAAACAGTAAATTGATTAAGATTGGAACTTTTGCTGCTAAAGACATCTTTTTTCTAGTTCCAAAAATTTGTTTTACACGACTTTAAATGTAATTCATTTGTGTTTTTAGGACTTTTGCTGTAATTTAGCACATAAAAACTTTATGGGAAAGAACAACCAGCAGAAGAACGATGTCATTTTATAATAATATAAATTTTAAAGAAATTTCCTTTGTGAACATCTTTCCTCTTAAAGGAGACGAGATATTTAAAAATGTCAGAAGATCCAACATGGCAATCCAACTTTGTCCAATAAATTTCCAATCAAACCGTTCGATTGACCTAATATAAAGACGTCACATTTAAAAAGCATTTTAAATGTTTTGTTGACCAGAACATGAAAACATCTCAGTAACTGTCGCTAAGGATAGCAAACATGAACACGTCCTATAAATTGTGACCACGTGACAATACACAGAAATCCTGCAGTCAGTAAACTGCTCACGGCTGTAAACGTAGATGAAGATCTGGACTCTTCCTCAGTCTGCAGCTTTAATTGGCAAAATAACACTTGAGGAATGGTTAGCATTTCACAATAAATGCTATTTAAAAAAAAAAACAAAAAACAAAGTTGGCAAAATGAAGTTTTTTTGTTTTGTTTCTTTTTGGGAGGAAGGAGGAGGAGGAGCACTCAGTCCACGTTGCCCCACCCCGCCCCACCAATCATCTTCCTCAGTACAGCGTCTCATGTTTTTTTAAGTCCAGCATGTCCTGCAGACAGCTTTCCACTGAGCGTGACGTTAAGTTTGTCCCTTCCTGCTTGCACTCATTGTCCCGTCAACATTTGCACAAAGTGAAGGAAAATGAAAAAAAGCCAAGAAATGTTTGTTTTTCCTCTTTAGTCCACCTGAACATTCGTCTCCTTTCAGTGCAAATGAGGTAGAGGTGACAAAAAGATGATCTTCTACCCATTCGGACTGTGCAAAATGAAACAGAGGTGTTTGTCTGGAAAACACACAGAGTGGAATTCCTGTACGGAGGCCCAAAAATGCCAATATTCATCTCAAACGCATATAATTTGAAGTTTAGCCAAACAAACTTGAAACTCTTTAAAATCTTAAAATGTAACTCATGAACACCAAATGGGTTTTTTGTTTAGAAAGAAAAATGGAGTGACTGAAAGGTCGTTTTAACAGAAGTCTCTTTTTGGCTCTCATCTAATTTAAAAGTTTTTAAAATCTCAAATATAAAAACCAATAAATAAAAAAAAAATGTATAACATTACAACTAAAGGGAGGCAAAACAAAGGATGACAGAGGTGAGTTGCTGATGTCTGATTAATTAATTGGTTCAGTTACTTTGGGGAAAATACTGTGAAGAAATTTAAAAAAATAAATGTAAAAGTGGTTTTACTCTAACTTTGAAATAAAATTATAATTACCGCTCTGAAGTTCACTGCCAGCTCAAAACACACAAAACTGGAATTCTTTAGGGAATAAATGTGAATCTTTATTTAAAAATCTAAAAAAATAAATAAATAAATAAAATTCTTAGTGTTAACCTGCCTTTAGTTATTAAAGAATGTATTAATAATAGGTTGACGTTTTAAAACCTGCTTATGCTAATAAACACTATTATCCTTTTTGTTTTTTTTTAAAAGCCTAATATTGGACACCTTTGGGCTTCCGTATTTGGAGGTGTTCTTGCAGATGTTACAGTGTTTTTGGGAAAGTCTTTCGCACCATAAAGACGATGTGTAAAACAAAAAAATGATAAAGTTATGGCACCAAAACGTAGTGAAAGATCTGGAAATATGTCCATACGTCATGTGATAATACTGGCTCAAAACAAACAAACAAAAAAAGAAAGAAATGAAAACAAACAAAACAAAAAAAGAAAGAAATGAAAACAAACAAAACAAAAAACCCCGCAGCCCTGCCCAGAACTGGAGACTCCCACCCTGAGACCTCGACAGGAATGCTGGGAAAGGTAGTCCTTTTGTCCTCCTTAGAAACGTGAATATTTTTTATAACTCTATCACAGTAACATTGCGCTTATTCCCCACCTAGTGGTCAAAATTGGCAATCCACATTTAAAAATTAGCGTACAACATAAATATTCCAGCTGCAGTAGAGGTAATAATAATGATGGCGTCTATTCGTCTACAAATCAAGTCACGTGACAAAATAGTCATCATTATTACTCTAACACAGCCTCAGAGTTATTAGTGCTTCTATGTACAAGTCAAGAGTTTTGGACAGTGAACAATCGTCAGTTTACCTGCTACCTGTACACAGGTATCTTACATTTATAAGCATTTATATAAATAGGTAGTGTGCATGTTTATTCATACAAACGCCGCCTGTACACGAGCTCCATGCACCGCACTACTCTGTGACACACATGTACACCTTATCTACAGATGCAGAGTGTGGAGGGAGGGATGGGGGGGGGTCAGGTGTGGGGTTAGCTGTCGGCGCGCGCGCGCACACCACCACACACACACACACACACACACCACACACACACACACACACACACACATTCAGCTCTAAAACTCTGCAGCAGCGTCACTTTGAAGGAACGAGTCGCCCGACATCGAGCTCTCAGAATAAGCACAGGGAGGTTAGCCTAGCTTAGCATTACAACAGGAGAATGACGGCAGGTAAACACACCTTTAAGTTACATTTACCTGCACAGTAAAGGCGCAAACAACTGACCAGAAGCTAAATTCTGCGCGGCGTGCTGAGAGTACGAACGTGGCACAGATCGTCCACAGGCAGCGGACTATCCTCCTGACGCCTGCTGGAGTTATCGTTCAGAAACGGGTGCCATCTAAAACCAGCACGCATGAGCAGACGTTAGCGAAGACGGGAACTAAAATAAAACGTGCTCTTTCAGTCTGCTCGCTGACCACTCACAGCGCCCCCTGCTGACCAGTAGATCATTCCCGTACGATGGGATCAACAGGAAGTAGAACATCTGCCTCAGAGACAAGTGTAAACGTCACTACGCAGAGATCTCGTAAACTTGGTTGTTTGAACACAAGAAAAACAAAGATGGAGGGGCTTCCTGTACGGAGCGCGCTGACGCCGAGGCGACTCGCGGCGACATGGGCGTGTTCCTTTAAGTGGCTTGGAGGGCAGTGGCAGGTTGGTCTCGGGTCAACAGAAAGATGGCAGTGTTTGTTTTTATTGTCGTGTACAGAATCTTAGCACTACAAATAAAAGTTGATTTTAAGAAATCTTCCCTCGGTCGCCGCCTGTACACCGCCGCCTTCAAGCCCCGCCCCCCGCCCTGAATGTTTGAAACACTTAGGAACCAGAAACGGCGTCTACAGTTCAGTTATGTACATAGTTACAGTGGTTTTTAAAGCACTGCGAGCCGAGTGGAAGCTCCACAGCCGTCGCTCTGTCTCGGTTGACGTGTTGTTGGCTGATTGGATCGCTGCCCCCGTGCAGCTGCAGTGACTGCGTATAAAGGGCACGTTCAAAATTGATTTTTTAAAACTTGTGACATGTTTGTTTTTAGGATTGAAGCGCTGAAGACCGAAAAGGTCAAAATGGCGCCGTTCTGCTTCTGTGTCCCCTGAGAGAAGCAGGACGGCGCCCCCAGACTAAAACTGGCGCCGGATTCACGAGTAGGAGAGGTGAGAGCCGTTGGAGATGTGCGAGGTGACCGATGTGCTCCGGGTTAACCCGCCGTCGCTCCCCCCGCCGCCTGGCCCCCCGGAGGCTGTCCGCCTCAGCGGCTGAGGGCTGTTCCTGAGCGCCATCAGGCTGGGGCCCCTTACACTCAGACCGCCGCCGCCGTAGCCGCCCTGTGAGGAAGAGGACGAGGAGGTGGAGGAGGGAGGGGAGGAGGTGGAGAGGGCGATGGGAGGAGGCGGAGGTGGCGGAGGCAGGAGGGCCAGGGACTGCGAGGAGGCGTGGGAGGAGAGGTGGTGGACCTGGGAGTGATGGGCGTAGTGTCCGCCTCCTCCCACCCACTCCCTGGAGCGGTCCCGCTCCCTGGAGTCGCGCTCGTGGGCATCGCGGTAGAGCTGCGGCGTGCTCTGGTGGTGTTGGTAGTGTTGGGGGAGGTAGTGCTGCTGGTGATGGGAGGAGGAGTGGCCCCGGCTCTTGCTCATCTCGCCATCCCTGCCAAGGACGTGGGACGAGGCGATGGACTCGGCGCGGCTGAAGCCTCCACCGCCGTGATTCTGGCTGCGCCAGGATGGAGTCGTCACAGAGTTCTGCACGCTGTGGCTCCAATGGCTGCCGGAGCGCGGTACGGGCCGCGACGGCCAGCCGCCGGAGCCCGAGGACGGGCTGGGGGTCGGGTAGCCCTGGTTGAAGGCCTCTGCCGGGATGCCGGTCAGCGCCATGTTGCTGAAGCCCAGACGCATGCTCTCCGAGTCGAAGGCCTCAATCTCGTGAGCCTGGCGCTCGAGCAGCGTCCGGATTCGCTCGGAGCGCTCGTTCTGCAGAGTCAGCATCTCCTCCTCGATCTGTTGGACAAAAACGCGGCGGTTAGCTCGACCGGGACGCGGCCCGCACGCTTTCACAAGCTTCGACTGTCAGAGTGAAGTCGGCCTCACCCTCTGCTCCAGCAGCGCCCGGCGGATCGACACCCTCTGCTCCAGGTCCTTCACCTCGCGCTCGTGCTGCGTGTCCGTGTGGATCTTGATCTTGCTCTGGTAGGCGTTCAGCAGCTCGAGCTCCTGCTGCAGCTGCATGCGGAGCACCTGATACTCGGCCTCCTGCGTCTCATCCAGCCGCAGCTGTGGGATCAAAACAGAGCCTCGTTATCAGCAACAAAGTCAAGCAGGTGAAAAACAAGTGTTTGTGCTGCATGTGCGCGTTTCTTTCATGTCTGGTTTTTAATTTTAGAAAATAAAAATCATTCAGCTGAAAACTACAGACAGGAAATGACTCTTCATCCTGAAGACGAAGGTTTTAGTCGATCTGACACAAAATTCAGCCGCTTTCAACTGTAAGTATCAGCTGATGTCCATATGTGCGTCACATGTATCGGTGCACACAGACCAACAAACTTTAGTCGCCTCTGTTCAAAGGTGTGACTTTTATGATGAGATAATGAGCTTGTTAATAAAATCAAACATTAAATCATAAGTTCAGCCCTGAAATATTACTTACTGCCTCCATGTTTACATATGTTTAATAAACATGCCATATTTGAACTTCTCTAATCTAAAGCTGCTCTGACTTGAGATATTTTTGGCTGACAGAAATTACATTTAAAATCAGTTGTTTGGATAATTTAGGAAAATGCGAATCGTTCAGGATTTCATAAACATGGTCATTTCTCCTCAGCTGGTTTATTTCCTTTAAACCGAGCTGAGCTGCAGCGCTCAGGGCTCTGTACTACGAAGCAAGTTCAACATATCCAGGATATTTTACTCCAATCTGGCGTCCTTTAAATCTGGCAATCAAGCTTTAACAGTCCAGCTGTGAGCACGTTCACATGGGAGAGGCGGGGTTTGCAGCACGTGACCAATCAGAAACATGGAAAGCTGATCGTTCAAAGGAAGATAAAAAGGGGGGAAAAAAATCAGGTGGTTAAACAGAGTGAAGGTAAGAACTGCTGCAGAGGGAGCAGGGGGGGCTCTGCAGGAAGCTGGAAGAGCCGCTGTGTTAGTAAAGCTCATCTGAAGCATGATTTCACAACCTCCCTAAAGCAGGTTAGAGCTGCAGCTCAAGTTGCCATGGCGATGTAAGAAGAGAAAGCCTCTGTGTATACCCGGGCTGATCAGCCAGGGCTCATCCTGAAGTTACCTGGATAAGACCAAATCCTGCCTTGTAGTACAGGCCTCTGGTTCTAAGGTGCAGGTTGTCAGGTGTGCAGGTGCTGAAGTGTGGGAGGTTGTCAGGTGTGCGGGGTTTCAGGTGTGGGTGGTTGTCAGGTGTGCAGGTGCACGGAGGTTTCCTTGCCTTACTCACAGCCTGAGAGGACAGCATTTCGTTGATGGAGTGGTCGTACTGCTCGGCCAGGATGGCCAGCTTACGTGTTTGCTCCTCTTTGAGGCGTTTGAGGACGGCCTTGTGGTCGGACTTTGGAGTGCTCTCCAGCAGGTGGTTCCTCAGAGCTTTGTACTGACGGGTCTGGATCTTGCAGGTCTCCTGGAACTGACGCTTGACCTGCAGCTCTTTGGACTGAAACAGAAGGAAACGTGTCGAGTTCATGTAAACTGCTTTTACACAAATAAAAGCATTACGAGTTCTTCTGATCAGTGAAGAGGTCAAAGTTCTTTAAAGTATCTGCCACATTCTTCCCCTTTTCCCCCAAAGTTCTGCTGATATTGGAAAATTTATGTAGTTTGACTAAATTACATAAACATTTCCCAAATTGGCATAGGGATAGCTCAGTGGGTAGAGTGGGCGCCCCATGATCAGAAGGTTGGGGGTCAAATCCTGCTACCCTGAGGTACCGCTGAGCAAGGTACCATCCCTAAACACAGCTTTTATAAACTGCAGGAAAAACTGAAATAAATATTGTTGTCAATTCGCAAAAAAAACAGCATCACAATTAAGCCTCCCATAAACTATACAGAAAGGCACAAAGTCACACAGGACTTCCAACAGCACCAGTAAACCTTTGAAAGGCCCTGTAGGGAAACAATTACATTTCCCATGAAGAGTGACGTCCCTTCCGATCGTCGCAGGTAATGCGACAGGTCGCGCTGACGTACGAAGTGCCACGAACAGCTGAGCGGATCAGCAAAGTGCGTTTCTGGATTATAATGTTTTTATTGTTGCAAGTGCTTTTTACACGATTTTTGCAAAAACAAACGGTGAGCTGGGACGAGCTGAATGCACGTTAAGAACGCAACTCCTCCAGTTTCACATGCAAAACAAATTATTGCGCTAGCTTCTGTGGTTGCATTTCTACTGGAATTTAAAAATAGTAACGGAAACCAGGTGGTGCTGTGATCCTCCTGAGGTACCTTGAGACTCTTGGGCTGCTGCCGGACCTCCATGGCGTGCTTCTGCCGAAGCTCCTGCTCACGCCGCTTGTTGTACTCCATCTGATTGGTCAGCTCGGTCTGGTGCTGCGTTCGGATCAGCTCGGCCCGGGTGCGCTGCATCGTGCCCAGCTGCCTGAACTCGAGCTCCTGGGTGGACTCGTGGTGCCGTAGCAGCATGGCGCACTCCAGGTCCTTCTGGGTCTGCTTCTTGTTCAGCTCCTAAAGGATGGAGAAAAGCAGGAATCACAGCGAATCACGGCCGGAGAGAGCAGAGCAAAAACAAACGCAGCTGCTGTCCCACCTCTCTGAGCAGGTCCTGCTCCAGGTTGTGGCGAGCCAGCAGCATCTTCCTCTTGTACTGGCGGCACTGCAGCTCGTAGTACTGCCGCTGGCGCCGCAGCAGGCTGGCCTCCTCCTCCGCCTGCATCTGCTGCAGACACTCCTTCTGACGGACCAGCCACTCCTGCTTCTCTCGCTTCGGAGTCGACTGGTTCTCGCTCAGCTCCTGTTCAGAGTTCAGAGTTCAAGTCAGGTCAGGGCTGTGATCTCTTTGTTTCATCACCAGTCAGCTCATTTATGTTTGTATCAGAGATCGCTTCTGCTGCTTTATTCTGAAAATCCAGGTGCAGTCAGACGCCAGCTGTAACTCAGCTGCGCTGCCTTTTATTTGACATATTTTACTCTTTATTTAAACAGCTTCGTGTTTCAGCTCCTACAGGAACTTCTCCGTTTGTGGGAGAGATCCTGTTTGGTTTTGCTGTTTCACAGAAACCTTTAAATTACAGCCTGTCGGCACGCACGGCTCCTTTAGAGCAGCTACGTTCGGTTCAGCCTGCAGGGCACGCGCAGCTGACTGTGGAGGAACTCGCTCCGACCTCTTTCAGCTGCTCCTTGCGCTGGCGGTACTGGCGTTTCTGTGAGTCCAGTAAACTGGTGAGTTCCTTCTTCTGCTGGCCCAGGATGTGCTGCTGGAACTTCTTCTCCTCCGTCAGAGCAGCTTTCGTCTGCACGGGCACACAAACAGGATCCTTACGTTAAGAAATGAACTCATAACTCACATTAAGACAGAAAAAACTTTGATCTATGAAATGATGCAAAAACTGAATTTAAAGAATTCCTGTTAAAAACACTGAAACCTGTTTTCGCCTTTGGATTTTGAATTCATCAAATAAAAATACTCTACTAAAGATTATCATAGTAAAAACTGCACCTCCTTCTCCAGGATGGCCTGGTGCTTCTTGGCCAGCTTGTCGGCCTCTGTGGAGAACGTGTTCCTCTGGTTCTCCAGCTCTTTGTCCAGCTTCAGCTGATGCTCGTCCATCTCCGCCTTCAGCTTGTTTTCCAGGCTCATCAGCTGCTTCTGGTGCTGCCGCCTCATGCGCTTGTAGCCGGACATCTGCTCACGCAGCGCCGAGCCCTGCTCGTGCTCCTGGATCTGACGGGTCACCTGGAGGAAGGCGGTGGTGAGGTTCAAGGACTCAGCAGGTCAGCTCGAGTATCAAAAAAAACGATCATTTTTAAGACTTTCTTGCTTAATTCACATGATTATTCACAACTTCACAAACGTGATGCACGTGTGAAGACATGAGCCCGTTTTTACTGAGAACTGTTAAAGACTAACAGGGAAGAAAGGTGGAGGTGGTGGAGACAAAAAGCTGCCTGTTAATCCATCGCTCTGTCTGCATCTCTGAGTGCAAACGGTGGCAAAAAGACCGGTCACTACTAGGGATGGGTACCGGTATCCGTTCTGACATAAACGGTAGTAACCAGACCGAAAAGCATCGCACATTTCGGTGCTTTTTTTCGGTGCTTTTTTTTCCTGAGCTGTGATACACTTTAGATTCCAGCCAATCATTTTACGTTTCCGAGGATAGTAGGCGGGTCCAGGTACGTACGTTCTTTTAGAGCAGAGCTACAGATTAAAAATGCCCAAGGCGAAGCGGTCAAAAGTCTGGCTGTACTTCACAGCAAAAGATGCAAACTCAGCAGCAACAAGTGCTTTAAGCTGATACTGTGATACTGTCAAAGGAGGTAACACCTCGAATCTCGATGAAACACCTGGCGACGCATAGCGTTTTTTTAAAAGCCGAGAAATGCGCCGTATTTGATAGCTTGCTGCGAGACCTCACACCGAGCACATCTACTGCGGGTGTGGTGCCTGTTATCGGACCCGGAGTTAGCAACATCCCCCAAAAACCCGAAGAGGAGAGTCCTGGCCCCTAGCCCTGCCAGTGTAGCAGAAATGATGAGGATGATGATGCAGCAGCAGCCGTTCTTCTCTGCGTGAGTAGCTTAATGTTGTTCGTGTGTAATTTACGTTGAGTAGGCTAACCACGTTATTACATTAATGCATGTAAGGTGAACTAGCAAACATCATCATAGCTACATGCGGCTGTCTTCTTGTTTGATGGCAGATACTCCCTTCACCCTGGCCAAAAAGGCTAAAATGACCAAAGAAAAAGTGGAAAACAGCTGAACATGAGAGGTTTTTGGACCAATTGTGTGTTCTCCATTCTTTGAGCACCGTTTCAAAAGTACCGTTATCGGATAAAACCTAAACAATACCCATCCGTAGTCACTACTGTCTGTGGACAAACTGAGGTCATTTTACTCCACTACAGCTCCATTCATAGATATCTGTAGAACCTCCATCTCTATCTGTGACGGATCTTACCAAAGAGGCCGTGCGGATGGTGGCAAAGTGGTCACGGTTTCGATAGAAGGCTCGCCGGCGTCCAGCTGAAGGAGCCTGAGGCTGATCCATCTCTGGCTGGTACGGGTCATCGTAGATGTTGTCCTGACCCTGAGGAGGAGGAGGGAGAATCAGGATGGTGAATCCACAGGAGGCGAGCTGGATGTCAGGTGAGCTTTAAGCCAAGCACTTACCGTGGGTCGGTGGATGATGGAGCTGTTGGAGGTGACCGTGTGCTCGCCCTCCTGCATCATGGCCATCTCGTTGCTGCTGTCATCGGAGGCGTCGGCGAGGCTGTTGACCGAGCTGCTCTGAGAGCTGGCTGAGATGGACATACTGGGAACAGACTGGGAGCTCTCCATGCTGTTAACGGTGCCCGTCTGCAGCAGGTACGGCTCCACCTCCTGAAACACACAAAACAAAATCTTCTTTCACACATGACTCCTCATCAGGAGTCCCTCCCAGCCCGATCACATGACAAGACCTAAAGCTGAAACGGAGAGGGCGACAGCTCAGGCGGCCCGCCTTCGGCTTTCTCACTATTTTTGTGCACACAGTCAAGTTTCCAGTAACACTCCAACATTCCTGCTTAAAGCCAGTCAGAGGAAAATGTTCTGAGGTTAGTTTCCTCCTTTTTTGGTATTTCAAGCCAAAAAAAGCACAAATCTCCTGATCTGTGCTCCTTCCTCACCTCCTCCTCCTCGCCTCCCTCGGTGACGGGGCCGTTCTGTTGGGTTTCCTGGAACAGGATCTTCTTCATCTTGCGGTACTGCAGGTTGTCGAGCTCCCTCACCGCGTCCTTGGTTCGTGCGATCAGGTCCATGACGACGGTCAGCGGGCGCTCGTGGCACAAGAAGCGATGCTGCGGGAGGAGGGATAGAAATGACAGGTGAGCACACAGCAGGGCAGGTTTAAAAACTGTCCTGGATCAATAACGCTCACATTGAGAAGCACGTCCGAGGTAGGCCGGTCCTGGGGAATCTTCTGTAGGCAAGAGTCGACAAAACTGCGGAAGGAATCGGACCTGAAACAAAAAACACAACATCAGTTCACTGCAGTGTCTCCGAAGTGGACAGAGGGATACACGGCGCCGCAGGAAAACATGGAGGCTGCTCACCAGTGATTGGACTGCAGGACGGGGCTTTCATTCTGAGCGATGTGGTATAAGGCACTCATAGCATTCATGTTGAACAGGGGGGGTTTCCTCTCCGCTGCAGAAGAACGACAGTTAGCATCACAGAGCCCCAGGCTCACAGTTTAAGAGCACAGACAGCAGCTCATACCCAGCTCTATGCAGGTGATGCCCAGGGACCAGACGTCCACCTTCCCGTCGTACTGGCCCTCATCCATGGCCAAGATCACCTCCGGAGCCATCCTGGAGAAGACAGAGAGAACGGGCCGAGTCATCCGCTGCTGCGCCGCACGACGTGCAAAATGTGTTTCAGCGAAACAACAAAAAAAGCTGCACTACGAGAAAAAAACTCAGATGTTGTCCACTTATTTTATTATTCTGGCGTTAAAACTGAACATCTGCAGACAAATAAAGCTACACTGAAGCTGTTTAATCAACAGCTGGTAAAAGTAAAATCTCAGAGGGCAGCGCTGATGATCCTGAATATGACCTTTCAGCTAATATTAGGCTAATTTTGCTGTTGAAAAGAGACTTTGGACAGATCCTGGGTACAAATTCAAGAAGCTTTCAAATGTAAACGAAGGAGATCTCATCTGTGGTCCGGTCCTATTCACGCTCTGATTGGTCGTTGGTGTTGTCTGTTCAAAACATGGACTGAACGAGCTCCATCGATGCTCACCAGTATGGCGTCCCCACGAAGGAGTTGGCCGGAGACACGATGGAGGCGGAGCCAAAGTCCCCCAGTTTGACCTGACCCGGCTCCGTCAGCAGGATGTTTCCTGCCTTCACGTCCCTGCAGGAGAGAGGAGAGTGTGACCCCTGCTGGCGGTGGGCTCTAACTGCATCTACGTTTGTAGGTCTTCTTGGTTTAAAGGAGCTGACGGACGAACAGATCTTACCTGTGAATCATATTGTGAGAGTGAAGATATGCCAACCCCTGCAGTGCACCGTGGGTAATAGCAGCTATTTCTACTTCCTGGAGCGGCTTTTTGTGAACTGCAAGGAGAAAGAAGAGTTTATTCATCAGAAAAACCAGAACACAAGAAGAACGAATAAAAACGGGTGAAGTGTGTGCAGCACTGCACGAACCTTCAAGGAGGTCTGAGGCCGAGCCGAGGCAATACTCCATCACCAGCTGAGGAGGAAACGACAGCGATTACACATCATCAGTGAAGGAGCTCACACAGCCGCCCTAACATGATGAACTCCTCCACCTCTATGTGTCACAGCTCGGCTGAGACCGCTTCGACCAACAGAAACGTCTCCATTTCAATGTTTTTCCACTGTGAGGTGATGTCACCGAATAACAGTTCAGTTACTGAACACTTGTTCCTAATAATATGACATTTTCCCCCCTATAATAACCAACAGGAGACAGACTATGGGCAATTTAGAGTTACCACTTAACCTAACCCCAATAACTGCGTGTTTTTGGACTGTGGGAAGAAGCTGTTGTACCTGGAGTGAACCCACACAATCATTGGGAGAGCATGCAAACTCTACAAAGACCCCGGCCTGATAGAGGAATGAACTCAGGACCTTCTTGCTGTGATTCAACAATGCTAACCACTGTGCTGGCCCTAGGTAAAACACCTCCCCGTTAACCACGCGTTACAGGACGCACCCATGCCGTGTGCTCCTTCAGGTAGCAGCCCAGGTACTCGATGGTGTTGGGGTGGCGAAGCTTCTGCAGGAACTTCACCTCTTTGATGATGTCCTGCCATTTCTGCACAGCAACAGAAAAACACTCAGCTCTTCTTTCTAAAGTGTCTCACAGCACATTTAAAATGTAAAGAAGTTCAAAAGCATTTAAATCTGTAAAATAATTTTTCTGGCACACAAAATCAGCTGCTTAACATCAGTGCGACTGTTTCCTATCAGAGCACGAGCAGACGAGGGCAGGCAGATCTTCAAATCTACGATCGTTGCGCTCGTTACCTCGTTGGTCTGCTTGCCGCTGTACGACATCTTTTTGATGGCCACCACTTCATTGTTGCTGACATCTCGGGCCTGTTGGACGACACAAACACAATCAGCCCTCAGTACATTTCAGTTCTGTTTCAGGAATCGAACCCGCGATCTGCAAGCCTGCCCTCACAGGTATGCATCCACCGAGGCTGTGCTGAGGAGGAGCCAGTTCTTATTGTCCAACTACACCAGAGGGTGGAGTAATCTCTGTGTGAGAAAAGTAATGGCTCGGGCCCAGGAACGTTACGCTGCTGTGGTGACAGGTAGTTGGCATGGCGCCGCGCTTGACTTTGATGGAAAGGAGTGGAACCGGTTTTCGATTGGGGACTGCGTCAGGATGTGTGAGCAACCGGTTTGTCCCCTCTGACAAACCGCCGGCGAAACAACTTCATAGATTTATTTAAAAAGGTTTCTAATGAGCAACATTTAAAGAGAGAAAATATTACTTATCTCTCTCTCTCTAGATCTATATCTCTATATATCTATATTCATGAATTATAATCAAGCTGAACCAGTGAAGAGAGAAAGATTTCTCTCACACGGTTGGATAATAAAAGGTTTCAATCCGACCTCCTGACTTTACTGTGAAAGGATTAGCTTCTTATTCCAGTCTTTAGACTCATCCAGCATGCTGCTGTTCTCTGGAAGGAGGTGGAGACTGCAGTAAGTAAACTGTGCCCACTTCATGGTTATTTTTAAAGTAATGTTTGGTTTAGGAGACAATAGAGTAAGCTTTCTTCCTCTTCCTGTTTATTTAAGACTGATGTATTTATGCTTCTAGGTAACTGTGTCATGTTTGATTTCACCTCTGACAGAATCCATCAGAACAGAAAAGGAAAGTGTTTTCTTTGTGCTCGTCTTCGTTTGCATTTAAAACCGGTGTGGAAACGTCACCTGGTGCACAGGAAATGCGCTCCCTGGAGAAACCGGCTTCGTCTAATCCCCAGTCCTGATTACAAACGTTCCTTCGCTTCTCGTCTGCTTTGTGTTTAGGAAAAATCAGCTTACTGTGAAAGCCGACAGTAACCGGGTCACGCGTGTGTAAATGACACGACTCGCTTTGTTACAGGATTTTCTTTTAGAATAACATCTTAAAGACACGAAGGGGAAAGAAATAAGAGGCTTACTTCTGTAACCGAGTCTGCTCCACTGCTCCATTTACTCGGCACAATTAGTCTGTTGGAAAAACGTTTCTTTACATCAGTTTTCCTTTCCTCTTTTTCCCCTCGGACTCGGCGTGCAGGTTAATTTTAGGACCACTCGGTGGAGCCAAACGATCGACAAGCCCTGCTCGGTGAGGCGAGAACAGAGCTGGACACAATGATCCATTAGTCATCCAAACTACATGATTTATTTTTGAATCACATACTCGATGTTCTCACAGCTGTTCAAAGTGTTGGATCCTGATCCTGAGAGAGGACGCTGCTTACAGGCGCCAGATGAAGTCGTTCTGCATTCTCACAGTACTGATAAGACCCTGTGATGCAACAGCATCACCTCTGCTGAGCATTAAAATACACAAACTAACATCTTTGGAGTCCCAATACAGCAGCATTGCACGATTTACTGCTCATCATAATTTTCCTTTATCTTACACTGAGCCTTGGAGCAGCCCATCAGTTCACCCTCGACACAAACAGGAGGTTTAAAAGCAGCTAGGTTGTTGTTTTGTTTTTGTTTTTTGTTTTTTTTGGGGGGGGGGCAGAGATCTCAGCCATGTCATCAGTGGAAGCCAAAAATCCTACAATGTGTGACGCAGCCCATAAAAAGCCAGACAAACACCCCAGAACAGCCGAGCAGCGATCAAACCAATAATAACTGTTAGTTATTGTCACCGTCTGCTAACATCGCTCGCAACTACAGCTGAAAGATGTTATTTATCGAACGATTTCTGATCCATAACCTGCAGATAAACAGCCACGGCCAGCAAACGTCTCAGCAGGTTTTTCATGAACAAACAGAAATGAACTTTTTCACCGTTAGCTGTGGCGATAACGCTGCATAGTCGAGCAACAGTGTCGTACAAAGTGCAGCTTTTAATCAATTATCGTTCCTTAATATACTGCTAATAGGAGGGCTGGGTATCGCCACTGATTTCTAGAATCGATTCAATTCACGATTCGAATCGGGAAAATTTTGCCTCTGTCAGAAATATTATAATTCAGATCATGCATCAGTACATTTCCATATTTTTATATCTATAAAAAGAAAGCTGACGCTTGTGAGACTTCATCAAAGGTGTGAGCGTCACAGCAGAGGCCTTTGTGTCAAAGTAACTGAGGATAAAACACAGAACAACATGAAGGTGATTTTCCTGGCCTGGGATTTTATAGCAGATAACCTTAAAAACATTCTGCAGTAGATCAAAAACAAAAGAAAGTCATTAATCAACACATGAACGTTACCTGATGCTGCTGAGGTGAAGCAGAGCAAAGTTACAGAGTTTTATTACACAGCCAATGTTCCCTCTAAGCTGCGCACGTGTGCAATTGTGCACTGCTGCACGTCTCTGCGCACAGAAAAAAGTCTAACCTGAATTGAAATTAACATTAAAACTTTAACGATTCTGTTCTGCAGTGTTAGTCAGTGACTGGCTGCTCCTGTACGGCATCAGAACGATGCCACCTTATCCCGTAGTCCAGCTAATCACGCGATTCACATTCGTATATACGCAGCTAACCAACGTGGCTGACAGGCTCTGACAGCGTCCTTATGTGCGACACCGGTGTTTTAGCAAAGCGGCTGATGTGGAGTGAAGCCACGTTAATGACAACGTGTGCAACCATTGGAGATGTGAGCAGGACAGACGGAACAACTGACGGACAAAGTGTGGACTTTATACCAGTTTTTAAACTGTGTTGATCGGCCATGTAAAACCAGAGTTATGATAAAATATCTGCACTGTTTGTTTTTCTTCCTGAATACTGTCGTTGTTTATATTTACTGCAGGAAGAAACGGTAAAAACGGCGTTTTATAAGGAAAACGCTCGAAAGCCTGTGAGCAAAACCCAAAAACCACGCGGACCCGCCGACACATCAGAGTCAGCGAGCTGTCGGCTTTCAGCCCCGACCGTGTCCGTGCCGTCGGTGAGAAAGTCACAGCTCACTGATCCTGATGCGTCGGCGGGTCGAGCTTTGTGTTCACGTCTCTGTGCAGAAGCCTGTTCCTGCTCTCAGTTACTGTTTTAATCTTTGGTGGTTGTTGAAGTTTTGTGAGGTTTAACCGGAGGTTCTGGCGTTTCGAGCAAAATAAATTTATATTAAAAAATCGATTCAGGATTTGAATGAATCGATTTTACGTTATTCAAGCCAGAATCGACTTTAATCGATAAATCGATCATCAAAACCCAGCCCTAGCTAATAGTGTTTTTTTTATCAATATCAAGTTTTCACAAAACCTTTAATTTACTGTTATTATTATTTATTTCACTGCTTAGAAATCGTGACTACTAATTAGAAGCTCTTAGTTCCCACCTCCCTCAGTTTAAGGCAGCTTTCTTTTGATTGGCAGCTCTTCATAAGCTGAAGGTCTGAAGAGTGAGTGGGCGGGGCTTCTGTGCCTGGGATGGTCGCATACAGGGGTTCAACTTTGACCTCACACAGACCCAAAAGAAAAAAACAAACAAACAAAACAGCTTGAGGGTCACCTCTCAGGGATTACTGTACACGCGCCGCCCTCGCTACTTCAACACGAACATCCACCGCTGGAACAGGAGACACGACAGGAAACGCAAACACTTGAAGCGGTTGTGAGCGACAGTTCCAGAGACGCTGAGGGGCGCCGCGTGTGAAACGTTCTTTTTTATCTGATGCAAATTGCTGCGCAGCGTCTATTTCTGCAGCTCTTCTCTAATGGCCTTTCAAGGCTGCTCTGAAACTCAGACATGCAGTGTGGAGGTGTGAGTCTACCACTCAGCCTCAAGAATATTTTACAGGTGAAATGAGATGCAGAGGCGCGGCGCACACACTCGTCGTGTTCCCACTGTTTTCTAATAAGCTGGGGGACATTTTCAGATTCACACTCTCTTTATTAATGACAGATAAGAGTGATTTTAAAGAGAAACCCACACAGATCCACACGGTGGACAGCTCGGCGAGTACATCCAAGAGACACTCAGACAACAATCCAAACTATTTGATTTGGTTTAAGATAAGCCCAGCGTGCAGAACGCCGTGCTGCTGTATGTCTGCACCTATACAAACATGTGCAGATGCAAGCTTCACGTCTGCTCTGGTCCCACACTTCTAAACTGGTTCACACCCATCAGTCACCGACTGCTGGAAAAACGTGATGATTCGCCGTCTAGCTGCAGAGCTTCCTTGTACTAAGAATAGCTTCAAGAACATTTTCTAAGAATTTCCCCTTAAAGTCAGAAGTAAATCCCGGCAGAGATAAAACTTTTTCATAAAACATGCTCAGCCTTTAAAAGAGCTTTGAAGCTGAAGTGTTTGAAGCAGAGAGGAGCAGTTAAGAGGTTTAGGAGTTTCTTAAGGACAGGAGGATGTGGTGGAACGGGAGCGATGCTCGTAGGCCACACAACCCCATGTGTTCACGTTCCAGAGGATCTGATCATTGCTACAACATGACGCTCAAAAGAGCCACTTAACTCGTGCACGTCTTTGTTCTAGATGTAAGAAAACATGCTGCCTTGGAGCGCCACAGCACAGAAACAGGTTGCACCAATAGCCCGACTGAGGTTTCTGCATCAGGACCAAAAGCACATGTGGTCCTTAGCTAGTCCTGTATAAGACCTGAGGACAGACGACCTCACACTGACTCTAGAACACTCGGGTGTACAGACTGGCCGATATGGCCTGAAATCCATATTGCGGTATAATTTGAAGCATGTGCGGTAACGATATATATCGCGATATAGTCTTTTCTTCTGTGTAACGTGTTTTCCACACTATAAGGCCACTTAAAATCCTTTAATTGTCTCACAAATCAACAGTGCGCCTAATGTATGAATTCTGGTTGTGCTTACTGACCTCGAACCGATTTACTGTGCTACACGCGCTCAGAAGAATTTGTGGGTTTTTCCTTGTTTGTTTGTATTACTTGATCCCTAAAGTGTTCTCCAATGAGACGGCAGCGACTCACAGCTCATTTAAGTTTGAGACCGCTGCTTTAGAGGTCCACACCTTTATTTTGGTGGGTACTGTAGTTATGAAGGTGCAGAGTCCTAACAAGCTGTGGACTTTAGTAAATCCAGGAGCAGACAGGATCGGGCACATGTGACTAACTTTCTCTGAGGGATCATTTAACATGTAAACAACTTCACCTGATGTCTTTGTTTTAAACTCACACCTGGAGAGAGAAGCTGCTCACACTGAACAACATTAAAACCAGAGAGTGAGTTTGTTACTGACACGGTCAAAAGCGTGTTACTCACAAAGTACACCGCTCCAAAGCTCCCGTGGCCGATCTCCCGGAGGTCGGTGAACAGCTTCTCCGGGTCATCTTTGCAGAACAGATCAGCCACCTCGGGGTCCTTCAGATTGCCCGCCCGCGCATTCGAGGGCATGGCCAGGGCCTGGAGGATGGAGAGAGTGCTCAGGTCAGTGCTGCAGATTGAAATCAGGGTGAAAACATGGAGGTCAGAGGTCAAAGCTTTTTCTTGTTAACTGGGGTTTTGGTCATAATCAGATTTTCTCAGATTTTCCGCTGGAGGCAAATAAATCTTCATGATCTGTGGATGTGATGCTTTATGAGTTTAAATCATTCTGACCTCTGTTCAGACATTTACAGGTTTTTTTATTAGTTTTCTTATTAGCGTGAAACATAAATAAAATATAATTACCATCATATAAACAATCATATAGCTATGTCCACACATACATATTTATGTACCTAAATGAGTATATAAAGGAGGGGAAAGAGGTTTTCTAAGTATCAATGATTCGGATTCAAGTACTGGAAAAGCTGGATCAAAGTTGTGCTATATGTTGGCTGCCCCTTTAACTAAGACAGCAGGTGCCTGTGTTGCTTTTGCAGCATGTGATTTGCCCGTTTATACTTCAGCTGGGCTGAAAACCATCAAATTAATGTGCCAAACATGCTGGGAAATGCATTCCTGCACTCTTGTAAAGTGACCTCACAGAGACGCCATCAGCTTCCCTGATGTTCCCAGTCTGTGCTGCACATCTGTAACGCTGCGTATTGCACCAGGAATCCCACGACTGGCTGCTGCTGACGTTACCGTTCACAGTTAACATGGATCTGCACTTCAGCCGTCTATCTGGGAACCGGCTGACAAGTCGAGGCTTGTGAAGCGTTCCAGGGAAAATCGGGCTGTTTCACCGTGGGAGTGCCAAATACAAACAATGGAGGGAGGGAGAGTGACACGGACCCATATGGGGGAGACAAAATGGCAGCTGCGTTTTCACAAAGTGCTCTTCACCATGAATGGGCTTCAATGAAGAACTGTTCGGCTCAGATCGCTTTAGTGCCGGCAGCAGCGTGACGCGAAAGGCCGACAGCTTCCAAAATAAGGACACGCGCTCGTCCTTCAAATCCGCTCACCCAGTCCGAGCAGTCACGTTCAGCCTCTGTGTTCTTGTTTCTACGACAACAGCGCTGCTGAAAAACATTAGAGGAGATCCACTCGTACGAAAACTAACGACGCCGACGATAACCAGCCCGGCGCTTCGGTGCAGACGCTTCAAATGTTTGGCTGTCCAAAATGGATCAGGTGTTCATTTGATGCACTCTCGGTATGAACAGTGCCGTGTTCACCTCCTCCCACTGATACACAACTTTAGAGCTCCTGCAGACAGGTATGCACAAGCTCCTCCCTCAGCAGGTGAGGAAATTCAAGTGCACAACAATGAACAACGTTTCGAGGAATTCCAAGAGATGGCGTTTCAAAAAACATAAATGTTAATCATTAAGAATAACCTGATACACAGACAGCAACGCGCCCGATACCTGCAGCTCCACCTACCGTGGCGACCACTCCCACCTCCTCTATGGGAAACAACAGCGCAGCCGTAAGTCGGCGGTTCTTCCCGTGTGTAACGTTAACACCGCGTTAATTTAACAGGATAAAAACCGAATTTATACAGCACCAAATCCCAGCGACTGTCACTCTGTCATACATGCGCTACCATTGTTAGGGGCGGGTTTTGATGATCGATTTATCGATTAAAATCGATTCTGGCTTGGATAACGTGATATCGATTCATTAAAATCCTGAATCGATTTTTTAATATAAATTTATTTTGCCCGAAACGCCAGAATCTCAGTTTCAACAACCACCAAAGATTAAAACAGTAACTGAGAGCAGGAACAGGCTTCTGCACAGAGACGTGAACACAAAGCTCGACCCGCCGACGCATCAGGATCAGTGAGCTGTGACTTTCTCACCGACGGCACGGACACGGTCGGGGCTGAAAGCCGACAGCTCGCTGACTCTGATGTGTCGGCGGGTCGAGCTTTGTGTTCACGCCCTTTTTGCGCTGATTCTGAAGCTGAAGGTTTGATCTCTCTCCAAACAACATTGATCCAAACTACGCTTCACATAAACATCGTCATGGATTCACTCTGACTTTTGCTGTTTTGCTTCCACCAGGACAAAATCACACTTCATGCACAGCTCTCTCTCTCTCTCTCTCTCCTCTCTCTCTCTCTCTCTCTCTCTCGTTTCCCGTCTAAAAATCTGTTTTCTTCATTATTCGCTTGCTTGTTACGCACAAGTCGGACGCTGTTTGTTTCCTTTCACTTACTTCCGAAAAGAAAAACCTAATTTCTGCCGTTCAATACTGAACAACTTTAAACTTTTTAAAATGATGCAAAATGCAAAACGCTGTGTCTGTAATGAAACCGCTGTAACTTCAGAGGTGATGTTCATGTGCTGATTAATGGTTTTCTTTCGTTTTTGATCGACTGCAGAATATTTTTATAAAATCCAGAACAGGAAAATCTGCTTCATGTTTTTCTGTTTTATCTTCAGCTGCTTTGACACAAAGGCCTCTGCTGTGACGCTCACACCTGTGATCAAGTCTGGCGTGTGTCAGCTTCCTTTTTATAGATAGAAAAATATGTAAATGTGCTGATCTGAATTATAATATTTCTGACTGGCAAAATTTCCCAGATTCAAATCGAATTGAATCTAGAATTATAATTAACAATGTGCGCTGCTGCGTCACACGACACATTTGTTTACGTCTGTTCTTCTTCTTCGTTTAATTTCTCTGAGGTGTCTGAGGCTCCTAACATCCATTTGCGTTGCCTCGGCCACCGTGGTCGTTCCCTTTGTGTTGCTGGTTTGGAGAGGACGGGTTCCTCTGCCTGAGAGGCGGGGCTCATGCTTGTAGCACGTTTGTAAAGTTTTTTTTTTACTTTACACATAACTGCCACTCCCCTTAGCCTTAAGTTGCTGCATCAGTGTGCATTATTAACTGTAACAGAGAAACTCCGCACGCGTGCGTATCGCCAAAGAAGTAGGTCACAGTCATGGTGCTGCAGCTTCAGCAGAGACGATTGTGATGTTTATCTAACGCACTGCCTTCTAACAACAGCTCTGAATATGCGACTCTGATGGGCCTCACATTCAGTCAACAACCAGAAGACAATTTGATGATTAAAGGATGCGATTAATCGTTTCAAATACACATTAATATTTGTATGAAGGTATAAGCTTAGTGCTCAAGCTCAGTTTGGTCCGATTTCTTCCTTCCCATTTAAATAATTCATAAACAGGTCATAAGGGAAGCCGTTACCACGTCTTAATGCACACATAATGAAATGTAGATGTTTTAGCTTCTTGGCACAAATTTCTCCATCAAATTTTCCAACTCGACTCAAAGCTTTAAGCTATTTATAGCTGCAAGAACCGACAAATTCCAGCTCGAGCAGAAATAAGAAAATGAAAGGAACTCCTCAGTGATTCAAATCTACATTCTGCCATGAAAATGGGTCTGAGGGAGGAGCAGAATCATGACATGCATTTAATGAAATGCCTGGCACGTGTTTTGGCTGCTGTATGTGGAGATCAGAGTGTGCGCTGTTACGCTCCGACTCAAATCAACACCGATTTAAATAAATCCACAAAAATCCAAAGAGAGAGGCCGAATCATCAGAGCGGTGGATGTAATCTGAGGCTGCACACTGAGCCGTGCTTATTGACAAACCAAACGTCCTTCTGTAACGGGGTTAATGTGGCGCTCATCCTCTGAGCGTCAGCTGCAGCCCCGAGAAGAGTCGCCAGCTTAACCAGGCCTCTGCACGCCGGCCGCCGGATCCCCGTTTAACAACGCGCCCGCTCTGTGCCCGAGGTGGAGACAGATTCCCACCATCCTGCCCCCCTGACCTGAAAGCGCTTCTAAACACAGTGAAGCAATTTACAATTATGTGGCGCTCGACAGCCTGCCGCTACAGTCAGAAGAAACACTACCCGTCTGAAAATATGACAGCAGAGGGGAAAGCAGCACCTTAATTTGCCTAAAACTTCACCGTGGTATCAAACTAGAGACCTTTATCGTGTCAGTCAGCCTTCACTGCATATCTGAACACCCTTTGAAATTCTACTTTAATGCTTTTAAAGACCTAAACTGAAGACTGAGTTCCTTCAACACTACAACAACTGCACAATGGGTTTAAATCTCCGCATAAGATCCAACAGTAATCATTACTGCTCTATTCTCTGCTTTACTGTTCAGCGCTACATAAGAAATCAATCACACGTTTAAAACAAAACTTAAATGTGTCATTTTAGTCTCCGTTTACTGAACAACTGTAGATGTGTAGGAGCAATGTTGGAAGCATTTTGTAGCATTTCAATTTAAAATGAGACAACACTGATATCAGTAACAATATAGTGTTATTTCTCAAGTTTTTCAGGCGAACCCGTCCGATAAACCAGATGCTGGTATTAAAGTATTTAAAAATTCACTTTGATAAATATAAATATTTGGCTGTGAATATTGTGCATCTATTGGTTGGAAAACTAAGAAACATCAATGGTAATACCATGGTTAAAGGGTGTTCATTACTGCATGTGCATCATTTT